GGCTCTTTCGGCAAAGCTGTGGAGAACACGGACCCAGCTCCTGTGTTCATGTTCTTGATGAAGACCTTGCCGTCCTCGATGGCACCAATGGCCAATTCAGGTACCCTCTGGTAATTTGTTACAGTTTGCTATTGAAAATGGTCCACTTATAGTTTCATTTGATCACTACCTAGGCTGCTCTAATGAAGGGCTGCTTTTATTGAGGCAGCCAAATTTGACACATTATTCCTTTCCCAAACAACTCCTTAAAAAATCCTATTTGAAATGGTGATTTTCCATAGCCATGGAAACGTTTACCAGAGGCTACCGATAAACATTGGAGGTCCCTACCATTTCTCCAAGGCCTTAGGGAGAAATTTCAAGGGAGATATCCCCAAAGAAGCCGAATGATTGGCTGAAGGAAAGAGAAAACAACCAAGGATTCATCAACCAATCCCCCAAATTCGGTTCATAACCAAATATGGTGATTAGAATGAGAAAACCAATGATGATACCCAAATGATGATAGATATCCCACAGATAGCCATACCATGGCACACCTAGACCATCATTAGTAATTAATCATTAACCCCATCAACAGAAAAAGATGAAACTGTACCAAGACATGATGGGATAAAGTAGTGAATTTTATTGCTATTAACGGAGGGTTTAAGGAAAAACTGGGGTGATAATCTTGATTTATCTCCCAATAATTTTGAACCGATATTGAATCTTTGTCAAACATAATTACAGAGTTGTTTTCCTGATTTCCCTGGCCTTATAGCGCTGTTAACTTTGGTGAAATCCCATTTTTGTTGGTGAAACCACCCCAAACTGTGTTGTTCAACAGGTGAAATCCACCATTGTTGCTGAACTTTGGTGAAATCCTCCCATTTTTTGTTGCTGTTTCCACAGCTGAACCCAACCCTTTAAGAATCACCGAAGGAAACGACACGGACGCCGCGCCTGTCCGATCTGCGTGATGCCTGGGTCCGCCTGGATGATTTGCCATGCATCCCGCGCACTGCCCTCGAAGCGGATGCTGGAAATTCTGAGAAACATGAGTATTGGATGATTTTGAGATGATTTTGAGATGATTTTGAGATGATTTTGAGATGATTTTGAGATGATTGGGAATGTCATCCTCAATATTGCTCAATGATCCATGGTTTCAATTCCCAATCTTAGATTTTGAGATGATTGAGGATGATTGAGAATTGAAAGATTGGAATCTAAGCAACGGACGCAATATACCATCTGGTAACGAAACATGGTAGTGATAGATGGATAGTGCCGCGCTAGAGTACCACACATGTAAATGTTGATTATGTAGATCCTTTGTTCGTTGTTTGACTCAGTCTCATTTTGCTTGTTTACACTTTCGTTGTCAAACATGACACTGAAAAGTCCTCCGTTTGGAATCGTTTGTACATAGATGACTTCCCTGTTAAAAGTGTGTATCGTGGTATTTGTTCTAGCAATTGTCAACCAAATTTGTGTAGCTAAATATAATCTTTATACTACACAATTTTGGTTGAACAACTTGGCATTGGGCCATTGGGTTTGTGTGAAAATAGTGTATCCAAAAGCTTCTTGCACAAGCGCCACTTCCTTATGAAATTGCCCTAAATTGGTGTTTATACTGAATACCATTTTTTTCAGGCAGCCCCACTATCATATATTGTTGGCCAAAATAACTTATGTATATGTTTGGGTCTGCCCCCGCCCACTAACAGTTCAAAACTGCCCCCCTTCAAAAAACAAATGCCAAAAAAGCACAATCATATTGGTGGTAACTCAGGCCATTTTAGGGGATCCTTAGGGTCTGCTTAGGAGAAAATGTGATCTAGGTGGGCCGTACAAGTAACAAAGGGTGGAGTAGTGACTGCAACAACATCACTACCTTTGAGGTGGCATTGTTTGTGGTTAAACCATTAAAAAATCATTTTGACGAACATCCGTTTGTATTGCGCCATATTGTTGGAGCCATCAGGACATGTTTGCTGAACTTGTCATCAACTAGCCAAAATCAAAGTATCGATGTTGCTGTTGATATCCTTTGATGGTTGGAACGTTGGAATGGTTCTGGGAAGTCTGACAGCTGACATCACTTTTTTTATCTGAATATTTCCGTGTCAAATAGCAATGGCAATGATATGGTATGATGATGCAAGGTGTTGCATCGATATGATGATACGATATTTTGACTCATGACATTCTTTACAATATTGAATGCAGCATACCTGAAATACCGAGATGCTGCAATCAAACGGTCCAACCATTGTAAGTTATAAGTGAAAAGCGTTACAAAGGCGTGCCTCCAACAATAGTTGTTGAGGTTCTTAATAAACATCATATGATAATTACATGTGTTCACATTTCCGCTCCTGGCATGGGCTCACTCCTGAGAGTTTTTTTGGAAAAGAGGTTGGAAAAAGGAAATGGTGCGAGACATTTGCTGGGCCGCTGGTCCGACGGCTGTCGAGGGCAGGAGTCCTGAGATTCATTTTTTCCAAAGAAATGCTGATTTTGTTGTGCTTTTTTCGTGTTTTTTTTTGTTTTTTTTGTTTTTTTTTTGTGATTTCTTTTGTGCTTTTCCGGCGCTCCCGAGCACAAAAAAAAGCACAAAAAAGAGCACAAAAAAAAACACAAGTCATACCACAAAAAAAGCACAAAAAAAAACACAATTCATACCACAAAGAAAAGCACAAAAAAACACAATTCATACCACAAAAAAAAACACAAAAAAAACACAATTCATACTACAAAAAAAAGCACAAACAAAAACACAATTCATACCAAAAAAAAAGTCATTTTCCTTTTTTTTCTGCTTCAGTTTCTGTTTTTTTTTGGTGTTTTTTTCTGCTTTTGGAAAGTCGCTGCTTTTAAAGCATTTTAAATTAGCCAGCCCGGCCCAGCTCCAGCCCCCCCCTCAGCCAGCCAGCCCGCCAGGCCTCTAGTCCCCCAGCGTTCCCCAACTTTTAGGCTCAGCCCCCAGGCCTTGCCCAGAGTCAGTCCAGCAGCCCCGGCGTACACACACATTCTATTGTTTTGCTATCGGCGCTGCGATGGGCAACATCCTAAACCCTAACAGCATCACTTTGCCATCGGCACTGTTGTGGCCAGCATCCTAAACCCTAAACAGTATTGCTTTGCCATCAGCGCTGCAATGGGCAGCATCCGAAACGCTAAACAGTATTGCTTTGCCATCATCGCTGCAATGGGCAGCATCCAAAACCCTAAACAGTATTGCTTTGCAAGCAGCAGCATCACTACCCACAAGGTGCTGACAAGCTGGATGCATGAGGCATCCCATTGGAAATGCAAATGTCGAATTTTGACAGCAAGGACTTCTGGGCATGGCAAGAAAATGTGCCGACCGTGGAGCCAACTTGCAGGGAATATGATTGGTCATCTAGCCTTAATAAGGGGAAATGAAAGTCATATTGGGGACTACAACCTGATTTTTCTTGTGCTTTTTTTTGTGGTATGAATTGTGGTCACTGTTAGTGTCACGATGCAGACCCAAATGTACTCCTACTTACGGAAACTCAAGTGAATACTCCCAGTGTCGAAACCCATGGTGATTTTTTATTCTTCTGCAGCAGTGATGTACAACCTGGTAGAACTCATAGAGAGCCTGCAGGGGTAGGTATTGTGATCCATCGAAATTTCAAGCCGTACACTTACGAAATCAAACAGGTAAGCGGCAGACTAATGTGTATCCGGCTGAGATCCCAGGGAACCAATATATGCTTCGTATGTTGCTATGCGCCATACAATGGTCATCTATCAGAGATAAAGGAAACTTTCTACGACAACTTGCAAAATCTTTTAGATAAAATCCATGAAGCTACATTCATAGGTGGTGACTTTAACGCACGGATTCACCACAGATATATGAATGAATCTGATATTGTGGGTCCAAACATCTTTGGGAGGGGTCGTGAATATTTAGACGGGATCTCGGCGTCGACCAAGGAAAATACAGACTTGTTTGTTGACTCTTGCCACTCCAATTCATTGAGAATTTCAAATACGGATTTCCAGAACCCTCCGTCTAAACAAGCGACTTTTCGGGAAAATACAACCCCTATAGGTACTCCCTTTGTACCGGATAAATATGCCCACTTGGATTTCTGGGCAACCACATGCAAACAGAAGAATGAATGCACAGATGTACAGAGCCGCACAGATCTTTATATGCACTCAGATCACTACATGGTGGAGATCCAAATCCGCATTAAACTAGCTGCCCATAAAATGACGGACTGCTCTAAAGTTCCAAAATATAAAAAGCCAAACGCCTCCCAGTGGCAGAACTATAATGATTCCTTTGCAAGTCTGTTTGCGTCTTCACCACCAAGGAATTCAGAGTTTTGGAAAAGTTTCAATGGTGCCATACGTACTGCAGCAAGGAATTGCTTGTCCAAAGAAACCCCTAAAGGTAAAACATGTTACATATCGCAGTCAACATGGAACCTTATTGATCGGCGACAAGCTTTGCACATTGCTGGAAAGCATGATGAATGATGAAGTTGTAAATTTGGACAAGCAAATCAAGCGAAATGCTCGTGCTGATAGGAAGCAGCATTTGGTCAACCAGTTTCAACATAACCCGGCAGACCCTCACAGGAAACAGCTTTGGAAAGCCGTTAATCACCTTAAGCGAGATTACAAGCCTTCATATATCAGTATGCGGGACTCTTGTGGTAGACTCGTGCCGCTCCAAGACAGTCTTGGAGCGGAGACGATAGCTTCTTACCTCGAGCAGAAACAGTGGTCCAATACTTTAGGACAGGCCCCGCTGCCTTCATGTCGAAAGATAGGTGATGACCCGGATTCCAATAGTGCACCTTTCTCTATGCAAGAACTAAATGATGTACTTAAAGGTTGTAAATTAGGGAAGCAGCCGGGTCCTGACTGCATAAGAATGGAACTATACAAGTGGCTAAATTCAGCCAACAGACAGACTTTGCTGAATATTCTGAATGATTGGTGGGCCCACGGCGACATACCCACTATTTCAAGGCAAAAACACTGCAGGTTCTACTCCACAAGTAGTGATACACTGAGAGTGATACACACAATTTGCAAGTGGTACCCACTAAGACACCTGCTGGCACCGAAGGAATTTCAAATGGAGAAGCGGAAGCACTTGCAACTTTTCGTGTTGCCTGAAGGAATGGTGGGGATGGCCAAGCTTGAATAAGTGATAAGTTGATTGCAGCCCCAGGGCGCACCACGAACGCACACTGTGTGAGCGCCACCACTTGCACGGACCTCCGCGCATTGGCGAAAGGTTTGTCACTAAAAAAAACGAAAAAAAATCCTTGCCTACTACGACTTGGCGCGACCGGCTGGTATGGTCTTTGGCCGAGGCATTGACCGGCACCAGCATGGAATATGGAAGATGGTAAGCCTGAGCAATTTCCGGAGAATCTCCTCTTCAGGACAACCAAACTTGTTGGGCCGTAAAATCCATGGCTTGCGATGCAAATTCTTGAGAGCCATGCGATGCCCCGTCCAAACGCTCAATGCCAAACTCACCCAAAGTCCTTAGACAAGCAAACCCTTGAGAGAACACAAGTTATCTCTGTGAAGCCAAGGATAGCCAAGGTCAAAAAACCAGAGGTGCCGCGATTCTTTCTACTGCTAACAGCATTTGAAGCATCAAGCCCACTGTCCGTTTAGATCGTTTTGATCTTCAAAACCACTCATCTCAACACACACACCCCACGTGCTGCCCCTATCCAACCTCTGTTCCCCAAAAATACTTGCCTCAAGAAAAACACCATGAGCAGATCTGAACCATACAGGCCGATTGAGTGCCAGTGCACATCCACTTGGCCATTCAAAACAACAATGGCCTGCAAATCCTGCGAACAAAGTGTCAGCTAATGCTAGGACTCCTCTTTGTAAATTGAAGAAAACGGATTCCACAAAACCAGTTTTAGCCTTACAGCAAAGTCCTTCCAGCCCTCTTCAGAACCTGCAGAACGGTATGAAAAGGCAGAGTGCAGAGTTGCGTGTGGGAAGTCATGGAAGTCAAATCAAAGCGGAAAAGATATTGTCAACTGGGATCAATCATCACGCGTAGGGTGCAAATTAAACATCTTTGAAACCACCCTCGGAAAACTATGCGGCGTTGTACCAAATTTGTTTCGAGACATTTGCGCTTGTGAATGCATTTGCATGAAACCAAGAACAGGGGTGCTGTAACGTCCCCCTTGAACATCACACAACTGAGTAGTTGAGGAGATCATCTCTGTTGTTTTGAAACACATGGAATCCCAAAAATTCAATCAATGACACATCTAAGCGCCTTTTGGCAGCGTGCGGATCTGGGAAGTGCTGTCTGGAAACAAGTCCTCAACATTTGAAGGAACCAAAAAGGCATGGTGAACATGCCAACTTTCAATCTTTCCGAATGCTTGATGACGTTCAGAACTGGTATCGGGACAAGACTGCATTTGTGGCGTGATATTTTTGGAGTGAATCAAATCAAGGAAATGCGTGCAAGATCGTGAAAGTTCTGTTTGGGAGGTGTGTTGTGCACCTGGTTGATCCAAAGAAATACATGCAGCCTAAAATTTACATAAATTTACATGATCATGTCAGATCCATCCGGTCACATGCATCAAATGGGAAGCTGAATACACAGTATCTTCAGTACAGCCATAGATTAATTTTGATCAAACTTCAAAAACCACAAATGCACCAAATCATCCAAGTCTAGAAATCAGTAGCTGGAACTTCGCGAAAATGGTTGAGTGATATATATGGCTCAACCTCAGCTGCAAGGATCGATTCAACCCCCAGCCCTCCGGCTGAGATCAGTCCTGAAGCCTCAGCAAGACCTGCACGCGGAATGCGGAATGCGATCAGGACTCTCGAGAACTTTGAAACAAGCAATGACTAGTTTTTTCGAAATACAGGGTTGCTCTCATCGACTCATTTCAATGAATTTCAGTTTCCCAAGTTTGTATGCACAAAGAGACTGCATAGAGATGGCTGTTTGTCACCGGCAGCCTGCTGCTGAAGCTGCTGAAGCCGCATGTTGCGGGCCTGAACGTCACGAATATTGATTTTGGACGCATGCTAATTTATTATAGGTTGGTTATTTGATGTGATTAGCAAAACAAAGCCTCATCCCGTCGTGCTCGACGATCGGCAAACTCCTTCTCAACCTGAATAGATGGGCAAAGAATTCCCTTTTATTTTTTGGAGACCTTGGGGGCTCCAACTCTATCGCATCTGTAGCTATAATTTGAATACTGGACCATTGAAGGGACTTTATAGTTGTTGGGACACACAGTGTTGTGAGGAACAATATCAATTTTGTAGAGGTGCATGATGCCATGGTGGTGAGAGTTTCAACCGCGTAGCAGCTCGGGCCTGCTTCTTGTCCATGATTGGGGATGGCGCAGGCAAAACCACAAACATGTAATCACAAACATGTCAAAATACACATGCTTCTCGCTCATTCTAATTGTTTTTTCTCCAGGACTCAACATTGCGCGATCAGATGAGGTTGACAGTGAATGCATGTGTTGAAAGGTATGCAGACCAATACCGGCCAATGGAGCACAGAATTTCAGACCTTCAAATTTCACTGAACATGTGGTGAAATTCGACAGCTTCTTTTGAAAACATGTCGGTGGCAAAAACTTGAAAAATGGTTAAAACGGTATTCGATTGATTTTCAAAATTGTATCATGCAAGTTATTCTTGCACCGGAAAATACAAACACATTTTATAAAAACACATCAAACAACAACACAAGTCTTAAGCTCAACCTTTGTAAATCTTTGCATGCCAAAAAACACACGTCTCCAATTTCACTTTTTTCCGGCTACAAAATTGAACTACTTGTAAAGGAGCAGGTTTCCACACAAAATCTCATAGATTCTGGTCCTTGAGGAAAAAATGTGGAAGACAGGCTAGGGTCCCAACTCGCGTGCCCGACGGTAGCCGGGGCTGTAAGATCCGTCCAGCCTCTCCTCCCGCTATGGCAAGTCATGACATGTTCAACCATGTTCAAGTCCACTGGTTTCCAAGCTGCAAGTGTCACGGAGCGACAGAGTGCTGAGGGCTGTGCAAGCATTGGCATGCGATGAAAACGCGCCTCCTGCCATGGTTTCCCAAAGAAATGAAAGAGGGAAACTCACATCGTATACGCATGGGCAAACTTGGAGCATGGGTTCAGCTCTGAGAGGTCAGAGTCAGAGTCGTCAGCAGCCAACATCGCTTCTCAGACTATTTACTATACTATGTTGTCTTTCTCTTCGAGCCTGACTCTATTGTGACATGTTGTGACAATCGTGCAGAGAGCCAGGGGTGGAGTTGATGCGCGCACTTCTGTTTCTTGCAACTTTGTTGCGGAGGCTTGTTGATCCAGAGCCAACGCACAGCAGGTACAAACCAAACCACAGTGAGCGCTCCCTCTTGGAGGGGCCCCGTGTCTCTAAAGCTAGCGAAAACAGAAAGAGAGCACAGAACAGAAGATTATGGATTTTTTTTCAGATCTATGACAGGGAAGTACAGGCCAAGTAAGGCCCAGGAAGCCTGGCAAAGGCAGAGAGCGAAGGACAAAGTGAAATTGGTTTCAAGACTTTTAAGGGTAAGGTCGATAGAGAAATGGATCCCAGTAGGAGGTTCCATAAAAATAGGGGAGACAAGTTACCGTATAAAACGCCCCTCAAAGCAGCTCCTCTGAATGTACGAGGGCCCTCAAGAGAAAATGTAATCACAAAACGGCAACACATTGCTCAAACCATGAAGGATGAAAAACTAGATGTACTCCTTTGGGTCTGCCCCCGCCCACTAACAGTTCAAAACTGCCCCCCCTTCATAAACCACATACCAAAAAAGCACAATCATATTGGTGGTAACTCAGGCCATTTTAGGGGATCCTTAGGGTCTGCTTAGGAGAAAATGTGATCTAGGTGGGCCGTACAAGTAACAAAGGGTGAAGTAGTGACTGCAACAACATCACTACCTTTGAGGTGGCATTGTTTGTGGTTAAACCATTTAAATCATTTTGACGAACATCCGTTTGTATTGCGCCATATTGTTGGAGCCATCAGGACATGTTTGCTGAACTTGCCATCAACTAGCCAATATCAAAGTATCGATGTTGCTGTTGATATCCTTTGATGATTGGAACGTTGGAATGGTTCTGGGAAGTCTGACAGCTGACATCACTTTGTTTATCTGAATATTTCTGTGTCAAATAGCAATGGCAATGATATGGTATGATGATGCAAGGTGTTGCATCGATATGATGATACGGTATGATACGGTATTATGACTGATGACATTCTTTACAATATTGACTGCAGCATACCTGAGATACCGAGATACTGCAATCAAACGGTCCAACCATTGTAAGTTATAAGTGAAAAGCGTTACAAAGGCGTGCCTTCAACAATAGTTGTTGAGGTTCTTAATAAACATCATATGAAACCCCCTGTCAATTAAGGGTTGGGGCTGTGCAACCATTTTGTAGTGAAGAAACGGCCTGCATAGCCTCAAGCTCTACTAAATGGATGTGCATGCATGATCGAATTTCACTACTAAATGTGGGCCCCTGGTTCAGCTGAAGCGCAAAATTTGGATATATTTTCACAGTGTCTTAAGACGCCAACATGACTCGACCAAACACCCTGTTCCATTTAGTAGAGGTACTCATTTGAGCACAAGTTGCGGGACCAACATCACTCGACCAAAACCCCAAAGCCATTTAGTAGAGAAATACACGGGGTCCATTTAGTAGAGAAAACAACATGAAACACATATGACTGATCCCATGACCATCCATTTAGATTTGGCATCGCCCCCAAAAAAGGCAACAAAAGAACCCAAGCACGAAAGGCAGCACCCGACGAGCAAGAAACACCCAAGCGAGGGATTTGGCATCGCCCCCCAAAAAAGGCAAAAAAAGAACCCAAACACGAAAGGCGGCACCCGACGAGCAAGAAACACCCAAGCGAGGGATTTGGCATCGCCCCCAAAAAAGGCAAGGCAGCACTTGGCTAGACAGGGAAAATCTTGATAGAATTTGGACATTTTGGGACTACAAAATGGTGTTGCATAGCGCGTAAGGGATTATAGGGCACACAAGGATGCAACAGGGCTTTGTTTGAAACAGTTCTAGATAGACTGATCCCATGACCATCCATTTAGTAGAGGCAGCACTTGGCTAGACTGGAGGCGGCATGGCAGAATACCGCAAGGATGCTATCTTTGTCCAACTTCTGTTGTTTCATATCGCGGTATACCCGATCATGTTGCTTCAACCCAGGAATATCTTTGATATTCATTGGCATTCTGGAATTTATATTTATTTTTCAAGCTTCTTTTTTTTTGAGCATCTATTATCATATACTATCTGGATTTACGTGATTCATCCTGATGGACATGGATTGGCCAAACGACTATCGGGGGCAACGGAATGGGAATCTCTACTAAATGGTTTTTCAGTTTTGTCTCGTGTCATTGTGACCGTTTTATGAACTCTACTTCGCAACCTCTACTAAATGGTTCCTGTGATTTTGCAACATTTTTTTGACATCTCTACTAAATGGTTTTACCCAAAAAACAACATTTGACATCATATGATTAACATATCATTTTTACCTCACTACTAAATGTGGATCATGGGTCTAGAGATGTTTACTTGATTTTTTTTTTGAAAAATCATGATTCTCTACTAAATGGTTTCTGGAAATTTCACACTAAATTTTTGGTTCACTTTCCGGGACCTAGGTCATAGCATTTAGTAGTGGAAATTGGCAGGAGGATTCATATGACAATTACATGTGTTCACATTTCCGCTCCTGGCATGGGCTCACTCCTGAGAGTTTTTTTTGGAAAAGAGGTTGGAAAAAGGAAATGGTGCGAGACATTTGCTGGGCCGCTGGTCCGACGGCTGTCGAGGGCAGGAGTCCTGAGATTCATTTTTTCCAAAGAAATGCTGATTTTTTTGTGCTTTTGTCGTGCTTTTTTTGTGCTTGTTTGTGTTTTTTTTGTTGTGCTTTTCCGGCGCTCCCGAGCACAAAAAAAAGCAAAAAAAACACAATTCATACCACAAAAAAACGAAAAACACAATTCACACCACAAAAAAAGCACAAAAAAACACAATTCATACCACAAAAAAAACACAAAAAAAAACACCATTCATACCACAAAAAAACAAAAAACACAATTCATACCACAAAAAAACACAATTCATACCACAAAAAAAACACACAATTCATACCACAAAAAAAAGCACCAAAAAAAAACACAAATCATACCACAAAAAAAAAGCACAAAAAAAACACAATTCATACCACAAAAAAAACAAAAAAAACGTCATTTTCCTTTTTTTTTCTGCTTCAGTTTCTGTTTTTTTTTTTGTGTTTTTTTCTGCTTTTTTTTGCGTTTTTTCTGCTTTTGGAAAGTCGCTGCTTTTAAAGCATTTTCAATTAGCCAGCCCGGCCCAGCTCCAGCCCCCCCCTCAGCCAGCCAGCCCGCCAGGCCTCTAGTCCCCCATCGTTCCCCAGCCCCCAGGCTCAGCCCCCAGGCCTTGCCCAGGGTCAGTCCAGCAGCCCCGGCCTTTATATGTACTGTACGCACACATTCTATTGTTTTGCTATCGGCGCTGCGATGGGCAACATCCTAAACCCTAACAGCATTACTTTGCCATCGGCACTGTGGTGGGCAGCATCCTAAACCCTAAACAGTATTGCTTTGCCATCAGCGCTGCAATGGGCAGCATCCGAAACGCTAAACAGTATTGCTTTGCCATCATCGCTGCAATGGGCAGCATCCAAAACCCTAAACAGTATTGCTTTGCAAGCAGCAGCATCGCTACCCACAAGGTGCTGACAAGCTGGATGCATGAGGCATCCCATTGGAAATGCAAATGTCGAATTTTGACAGCAAGGACTTCTGGGCATGGCAAGAAAATGTGCCGACCGTGGAGCCAACTTGCAGGGAATATGACTGGTCATCTAGCCTTAATAAGGGGAAATGAAAGTCATATTGGGGACTACAACCTGATTTTTCTTGTGCTTTTTTTTTGTGGTATGAATTGTGGTCACAGGTAGTGTCACGAGGCAGACCCAAAAAAATATGTATATATATATATCCCATTATATTCCTATTGTAACCTCATCATTATTGTAACCCTATCCTTATATATATATATAGAGCTATGTTATCTCCCTTTAGAGTTTCATTTCCTTTTTGTTGTAGCGTTGTTCTACTAGCCCCATGTTGTCTCAAGAAATTCAACCCACAAACATCCACGATGCCCAGTCAACTCCAACGATGCCCAGCATCAGCTCCGCCCGCGTCGTACCACTTGTAGCTCCAGCCATCCATTCCCAGGACCCGCCCACGGCTCTCATGGTTGGACAAGTAGAAGTTGTGTCCCTGCGCCGCGCAGTAACAAAGCAGCGCCGCCAAGCGGCGCTGCGGCTTGAAACAGAGATGTGTGGAGATGTGGCATATTTTTTTGAACCACAGGTCACGGGTTTAAACGACAACTACCATGAAATTTGGATGAATTTAGGATTGAAATGAAATTGAAGGAAGCAATCATGAAGAGTCGATCAACGATGATTTAATTAACCCAACACATTGGTGTTTGATCAACAACATGGGCTGGGGTGGGCAATAGGGGCCATAGTTCCATTGGCGGATGGCCACCAAACATGAGACTCTCGATCTTTGCATGGCGAAACAGAAATCGTATTCACACTTTTTGACAGATAGCCCTACGAACTACAAGTTACATCCCCCACAGAAACCATCAGTAAGCACTTGGACATTCCATGACGTTCCCATTTTTCTTGGCAAACACCCCCGTTATTCCCGGTTCATGCCCCCATTCAAGATAGACGTGTTTCCTTTAAATCGTGCCCCGTGTGCGAACAAACCACCGCACATGAAGGCAAACATCATCAAAGGCTGTGTCTGAAAATGGGGTATACCATAGTATACCACCAGTGGATAAAAACGAGGTATATCCCAATAACCCCTGTATACCCATAGTATACCATATATACCATATATACACCATAGTATATCATATATACTTTACACCACTGGTATACCATAACCCCCCTGGCCCTACCCAATTTCCCCAACATGGAAAACCGAGATTTGCAGAGATATCAACTTGGCTACGACTGGCTCCGATCAGCAACGGCCAAGCGACGAACTCGATCCCCATGGCAGAAGTGTCCTGTAGACGAACGAATGACATCTCTATCTGGGCGTGCCTGAAAATGGGACATATGGGTCAAAATTAGGTGTCCCAATAATTGGATGGTTAATACACATTAAATCATGTGAATACTCAACTAGACATTCACATCTGTGGTCCCACATCGGTCTTCCATCTTGACCATCCATATGGCCCAACAGAAACATCGCAAGTTAAAAATGGGAAGATGATTCGATCAACTCATGGGGACATAGAGAGATGGGCAACCAACTTTTGAAATATCGATGGATCAGGAACCAAAAGAACAAAAAAAATGGTTGATGGCTTTCCCTGGTTTCCATCATTTCTGGCTATGTCTAATGGCTCATTTGTAGAAAAAGATCCTCTCAAAGTGGATCTGCCGGCTATCTGACCATGGGCCAAACTCCAGTTTGGAGATACATCTATTGTGGCTTTGTCATGGTATTGTTGCAATTTTCACATGGAAAATGCACGTTTTTTTCACATGGTTAACCAGAGGATAGAGTGGGATAGCCTATGTTTAAAGACACACATATATTTATGTATACATATATATATATATATTGTTTGCATTGTTTTCCATGATTTTCTGGGGATATCTCAGCCACAGGATGCTTGCACTTGTTGTTTCGGAAGTTTGTTCTTTAATGAATCTGATGCTGACCTTGGATACCCTGAGAAAAACAGCGGAGCTGCATCCATCTCCAGATTGGCTCAGCGGCTTAAGATTGTGGAGATGAAGATGGAGTACCATCATTGACATGTTAGACTTACCATCCCCAGGCCACCAAACATAAGAAAACATGGCCGGATTAGGGACCATTCTGACTCATTCCAAGTAAAGGTAAAAACACATGTACAAACCCAATTCCATAAACACCTACTACCATCTGTCAATGTGTTACATTTCACTATGGAACATCACCACTCTCACGTAAAACAATCACATTTTATGGGCCATCCATACTATAGCAATGACAAACTGTCATAAATTCTCCATGAAATGTAGTTATAGTTGCCATAAACCCTACATTTCTTGGAGTGATTTTCACCCAGCCATCAAAAAAATAGCCTGAACAGGCCCCACAACGGCAATCGAGTCTCATCGTAGACCAATAAACCGCCCAACTCCATGGACACCTGCAGCTGACCAAGGGGAAGAAACACCCACATAGGAGTTTCCTAAGTCATGGGGGTACCCCCAAATCATCAATTTTGGTTTGGGATTTTTCATTATGAACCATCAATTTTTGGGCAGCACCATTTTAGGAAACCACCACATGTTTATATAACATGCGGTATCAGATGGGAGAACCCCCATAGTTGTATAAGGGAAAAAAACTCCCAGCACAAACAAATAACTGGGAGATGACCATAGTCGGAAGGACTCCCATTGTTTGCTTAGCCAACAGGGGAAGGATGATTAATGTCATACCAAGCTTTGCTTATTTCAATGACGAATCTGAAAAACTAATCAATTAAGCATGGTGCTAGCAACTGAACATGGGATTGGTTTATAAATTGGGACACAGAACAGCGAAAAAATGGGGGAGTCTTCAGATAGTCTTCAGCTCAAACACCATAGAGAAAAAACAATATATACATTACAACCAACAAATATTGGAAAACGAAGTGACAGCGCTAGGGTGATGTTTCCTGTAGACAAAACCAAATCATTCTAGCATTGTGGACTATATCACTATAATACCATGAGATTCCATAAGATTATCCCACAGTACATCCGATAATATATGGAGCTTTCCGTTTTGTCATGGGGTACCCGCACATCATCCACTCATCATGGATACCCTCTGGTAATTTAACAGTTAGCTATTGAACATGGCCATAGAAATAGTGAATTTTCCCATAAAACAATGTGATTTTCTATAGCTATGTAAACGTTTGCCAGAGGGTAACCAAGACTTAGTAACAACCAACGTGATCAGCAGATCACTGCGCCTTTGGGAAGGGCCAAAAGATCTGTTTTCCGCTGCAATAGGCTTCCAACTTCACGATATCTCCCGCCCCGGCACGGCCGGTCCTGGGTGAATGCACACAACCATGAGGATGGGCTCGCTTCAGTTGATTGGGGGATGACTAACCGCATTGAACTGATGTATATCATGCTATATACAAATGGTATTAAATGGCTATATATATATATACATATATATGGTCTGTCTATGATAGTGACAATGCATCACAACATCCAAAACTGGTTTTCACAATTCAAGCAGGAACTTCCTTTCGACCTGCGAGTCCGGTCTGACCACCTTCTCCCACATCAGTAGGATGTGATTTCTGCGTCGATTGAAAGATTGTCATAGTTCGGTATTGGGATGATTGAAAGTTATCTATGATTAAGACTTTTAGGTATTGGGATGATTGAAAGTATTGAAATATATTGAAATATCAAGTTCCAATCCTGAAAATGATGGTATTATGGTGTCATTGAAATCATTGAAAGGATGGTATCATCATGTAAGATATTGAAACCATATAAACCATCCTTTGAAATCGCCAGTTTTGGGTGCTGATGACCAAACATTGTCGTCCCCTGGGCCATTCACCATGTATTCACGGGTACACGGTGACAAGCTTTGTGTTGGCCAAAGAGTGGGTCAGTTTTCTGGGAAAACATCATAGAATATACCTGGTTGGTGGTTTCAATCCCTCTGAAACCATTAGTCAGTTGGGGTTACTATTCCCAATATATGGAAAAATAACAAGTGTTCCAAACCACCAACCAGTCATACAATACGCGCAAGAACTACAGTAACTATCGTGTCAAGCTTTGTAGTGTGACACTTGTCAGCCGTAAGGTTGACCCTCATCAAATGTGGCAGTGGAAAAATCACCCGTTTCACCATCCTTCCACAACCATCTTCAACCTGCAAATGATGTTTTTTCTGCTTGCGGGCACTAATGATCTCTTTGAAAGCCGGCATCACAAAGCGGGCGATGTCTTTCGGTTCAGAACCGTGGGCGTAGAAATCCACACCTGAGTCGGCCCGAGATTGGCGAATCTCTCGCATGGCAGCGCCGACGCACAAAACAGTGCCCGGAAGGGCAGCTTCGTTGGGCTGACGCGTCAAGCCGACATGCCGCTCATGGACGCGCCCAACTATTCCAGGTGGCCGGCCGCGACACAATATGTACCTCCGTTCGGACTCAAGACTCAGCTGATGGCTTGAGTCCAACCTGCAAATGCAACTGGAACAAATGTATCGAATTATAAGGATTTGTGATTTGAAAACTGAGCACCTCGGGTACCTCCAAAATCTATGGGCATCATGCCGCCCATTTTCGTATGCCATAGCCATAGCCATGGGATATATATATATATATTATATCTGTTTTGGAGACATGTTCCCATATCAATAAGCTACCGGCTATCCTTCGGGAACAGCCGCTAAAGATCCCATTTTAAGGTTTGAAAAAGGAAAGTCTTGAGACAATCTCATCATGACATATTGACACATGACCTTTTGGAGGGCAACAATCATTCATTCACCACCGTTTCAGCCACGTCTGTGTAATCGCTAATTGCCAAAAATGACGACATCACAAGCCGAAAGAAGCCGGGTGCTCAAGACTTGGTTGCTGGGTCCCGTCCCATGCTAAAAGTTTATATATGTCAATATATGTTCTAGTTGTTCTTCTCTGCATGGAATATATTGGTAAACCAACTCAGCTAGAGATCAAACAGTATGCTTGCGATCAATCACTAAAAAAATGTTCCATATGACAAGATTGTCCGAAACGCACATGTTGGACTGTTGCAAAGCTTCCTCCCGCATGTCTCTCACTAAACATATCCACCAGACCCATGGTTTGCTTGATGAGAGGCAGACAGGCGCCCCAGTTGGTGGCAGTGGGATTCCAGATGTTGCAGTACTGAACCTGGGTGCCGTGGTAAATCCTGGTAATGGCCCCGAAAGGCCATAAGTCAGTGAACAAAACCCATGGAATATCATGGAATGATACTCCCCATTTATAACCATTTAGAACTGCTTATTGGGGCTTCAACTGCTGGTTCTAGGTTCATGATTTTGGGAGCTTTTTTTCAATCCTTTCGACTCTTCAACCATCTGGATCTACCCGTTTTTCATATGTCAACACATTTTTTCCC